TGTTATGATATGATTTGCTAAGCTATGCTATGGAATGCTGCGCTGTGCTATGCTAAGCTGTGATATGCTATTATATGCTATGCAAAGCTGCACTATGCTATATTACGCTATGCTATGCTATGCTGTGCTCTGCTATGCTAAAGCTCAGCGAAGCTAAGATGAAGGTAAGCTAAGCTAAGATAAACCTGAGCTAAGATGAAGCTAAGCTAAGCTAAGATGAAATAAGCTAAGCTAAGATGAGATAAGCGACACTAAGCTAAGGGGACGTAACTGGGGGAACCGCGGGGCGGATACTGGGGGAACCGCCCGGGGCGCTTTCCACTGCCCAGCCCCTTCAAGCCCAGAGAGTAAGAACCCTTCTAGGCAGAGCCTAGGTAAGGACGTATTGGTAGTCGTGCTCTTCGTCGTGATGATATGATTACAATGAGTATGATTATTAGTTGTGCTAATAGTCTTCGTAATATTAGTGTTAATCGTATCGGTGTTGCTAGTATTAGTCTTGTCATTCGTATTGTCACCAATCGTGTTAGTATTAGTATCATCATTATTATTATGCATCGTCCTCTGCCTCCTCCTCCTGCTCCTCCTCCGCCTCCTCCTCCTTCTCCGGATCCCTCCTCCTCCTCATCCGCTTCCTCCTCCTCCTGCGCCTCTTCCTCCTCTCCTCCTCTTCCTCCTCCTCCTCATCCTCCTCCTCCTCCTCGTTCCTCCTCCTCCTCCTCCTCCTCCTCGCTCCTCCTCCACGTCCTCCTCCTCCTTCTCCGCCATCCTACTCTTTTTCCTCATCCTCCTCCTCCTCCTCCTGATCGCTCCTCGTTCCTCGTTCCTCGTCCCTCGTCCCTCGTTCCTCGTCCCTCGTCCCTCGTTCCTCGTTCCTCCTCCTCCTCCTCCTCCTCCTTCTCCGCCTCCTCCTCCTCCTCCTCCTCCTCCTCCTCCTCCTCCTCCTCCTCCTCCTCCTCCTCCTCTTGCTCATCATGGTCATCATCATCATCATCACCACCACCACCACTCACCACCACCACCACCACCACCACCACCATCATCATCATCATCATCATCATCATCATCATCATCATCATCATCATCATCATCATCATCATCGTCATCATCATCAGCAGATGCAGCAACATCATCATCGTAATATTGTTTGACATCATCCTTGTCGTCATTATCACCAGCATCACCATCATGATGATCATGATCATCATTGTCATCGTCAGCGTCATCATCATCATCATCGTCATCAGCAGCATCATCATCATCATCATCATCATCATCATCATCATCATCACCATCATCGACCTGATCATCATCATCATGATCATCATCATCATCATCATCACCATCATCATCAGCAGCAGCATCAGCACCATCAACATCATCGCCATCACCACTATCATCATCACCATCATCATCATCATCAGCATCATCAGCATCGTCATCAGCATCATCGTCATCATCGTCATCAGCATCACCACCGTCATCATCATCATCATTACCATCATCATCAACAACGTCATTAACATCATCATCATCCTCATGATCATCATCATCATCGTCATCGTCATCATCATCATCATCATCATCATCATCGTCATCGTCATCGTCATCGTCTTCATCATCATCGTCACCACCATTGTGATTATCATAACCATCAAGGGCACCGTGACACTCCTCAGAATCACATCGAACAGCATAATCATCATCGCAATCGCCATCATCATCAGCAGCAGCATCATAACCCTCGTCGTCATCGTCGTCATCATCGTCGTGGCTGGCGTCATCATCAGCGTGATCATCAACATCATCATCATCATCATCATCATCATCATCACCATCATCATCACAATCATCATCACCCTGCCCTTCATCATCACCGCCAACATAAACCTCACCATCACCCGCAGCGTCATCATCAGCAGCAGCATCAACATCATGGCCATCACCACCATAATGATTATTATCGTCATCATCAGATCATCACCGTCACCATCATCAACATCGACATCGTCATAACGATCCCAATCAGCATCACCATCACCATCGTCATCATCATCAGCAGCATCATCATCAGCATCAGCATCATCGTGGTCATCATAATCATAATATCACCGTCGTCATCGCCATAATCGGGATCACTATCAGCGGTATCATCATCATCCTCGTCATCATCATCAGCACCGTCACCATCGCCATCATCATCCCCGACATCATCATCATCAGAATCATCATCATCATCATCATCATCATCAGCATGATCATCATCATCACCATCAGCCTAATCATCATCGTCATCGTCATTGGCATAGTCATCAACATCCTCCTCATCATTATCATCGTCATCGTCCTCGCCATCATCCTCATATGCATCATCACAATCATCATCAGCAGCACAATCATCATCATCATCAGCATCAGCAGCATCATCATCATCATCATCATCATCTCCAGAATCATCACCATCACCGTCACCATCATCATCAGCATCATCACCATCATAACCATCGTCATCAGCATCATCGTCAGTATCATCATCATCATCCTCATCATCATGCTCGCCACCACCACCACCACCATCATCATCATCATCATCATCATCATCAACCTCACCATCATTTTGACCATCATCAGCAGCAACATAATCAAAATCATCACCATCACCGCCGTCATCATCCTCACCATCATCACCATCATCATCAGCGTCAGCATCATCATCATCATCATCATCATCATCATCATCATCATCATCATCATCACCATCACCATCACCACCATCACCACCATCATCAACATCATCATCAACACCGCCATCATCCTCACCATCATCATCATCAGCATCATAATCATCAGCATCATTGTCGTCATCGTCGTCATCACCATCACCACCACCACCATCATCATCATCATCATCACCATCATCGACCTCATCATCATCATCATCATCATCATCAGCATCATCATCATCATCATCATCATCATCATCATCATCATCATCATCGTGATCGTGATCGTCCTCGTCATCATCGTCATCTTCATCGTCTTCATCATCATCAGCATCATCATCATCGCCATCACCTTTGTGATCATCATAACCATCAAGGGCACCGTGAAACTTATTATCATCATCATATCGAAAAACCGCATCAGCATCATGGTCCAGCATCATAATCCTCGTCGTCATCGTTGTCATCATCTTCGTGGCCGGCGTCATCATCATCGTGATCATCATCATCACCACCATCATCATCACAATCATCATCATCATCATCATCCTGCACTTTATCATCGTCATCGTCATCATAAACCTCACCATCACAAGCAGCGTCATCATCAACATCATGGCCATCATCACCATTATGATTATCATCGTCACCATCATATCATCACCGTCACCATCATCAACAACAGCATCGTCATAACGATCACAATCAGCACCACCATCATCATCATCGTCGTCATCATGTCAGCACCATCAGCATCAGCATCATCGTCATCATCATCAAAATATCACCGTCGCCAAAATCATCACAATCACTGTCAGCGGTATCATCATCATCATCATCATCATCATCATCATCATGATCATCATCATCATCATCATCCTCATCCTCATCACCACCACCACCTTCTTCTTCATCATCATCAGCATAATCATCATCAGCAGCTGCAGCAGCATCATCAGTATCATCATCAGCATCATCATAATCATCATCATCAGAATCATCATCATCATCATCACCTTCATCATCATCATCATCATCATCGTCATCATCATCATCATCATCATCATCATCATCATCATCATCATCATCATCATCATCATCATCATCATCATCATCATCATCATCCCCCGCGTCGTCGTGCCAGGGCGCCAGAGCCGCGCGGGCGGTGGGCCGCCTCCCACTCCCCCCGGCCGCGGGGCCTTGCCGCGCACCGCCCAGCTCACCCGTATCGGCTTCGTGGCGCCCTCGCGGATCTTATAAGCCTTGTGAAGCACGGTGATGGCGTCCTCCAGACGCACGATAAACCATCTTAGAGGTCTCCTCGAAGGAATCGGAGTAGATGGGGTCGGAGGATCGCGCCGCAGCGGCGATACATCGGCGATGCATCGGCGATGCATCGGCGATGCATCGGCGATGCACCGGCGATGCATCGTCGACGTCGGCGATGTATTGGCGACGTCGACGTGAAGCAAATCGGGCCCTGCATCGAGCCGCATCAGCAATGCATCGGCGATGCGGCGCGATCCTCCGACCCTATGTACTCCGACCCCATCTAGGAGGCCTAGACAACTACAAGAGGGATATTCAGAAATAGTAACAAAATAATTCGGAGGCGATTTTTCGATTATACCTTAACTGTTTTGGGGAAATTGTTCGGTATTTTCCACTTGTCGTCCAAAATCCGCCCGTAGGAAGACATGCCCGACCTAGAACCACGATGATTCTTTCAATAATCGCCCCCCACCCCCGTGGAATGCTGTGGGAATTGGCCGTGGCGCGTTCGTCTTGCGGTTCTCGCCATGTGCCGGGGGGGTGCGGGGCATTCAGGGGGGCAGCTGGGATCCAACGCCGCCAGGGAGGGCATGCAAGGCGGGGTTGGCCCGAAGGCGTCCGAACGGGAGCGGGAGGGGGTGGTTCGGATTCGGGGGGCGGTGCCAAGGGGGGGTTGGCCGCCGCCCGTTTTCACGCTCGTCACCCCTCCCTTGATTACGGCCGGTTCGCGTCGTGACGATCACGGCGACCGTTTTCTGACACTGCGGGGATCGTTCAACCTCGAACGATCGGCGGGGTCGCCGGCAGCGTTCAACGTTGAATGCCAGCGGCGTGGTCCCCGCTGGTCGATACGACGCGAACCTGCCGCAACTTTTTCCATCAGCGGCGGGGCAGAGGCAGTCCGCTCCAGCGTCTGGCTATTCGGGGCAACCGAAACGCGAACTGTCCGGCGTGCAAGAGGAAGGAAGCAAGACAAGGGCGGCCGCGCGGGGGGAGGAGGAGGGGGAAGCGCTCAGACGTGGAGGAGTTGACCTGCCGTGACCAAAAAGTTTGGAGGATCCGAAGTGGCCCAGGGGCTTCTGCCGGGTGGGGCCAGGGTAGCACGCGGGCGGGGCCGCCGCCCTCGAGGCCGCGCTCGGACGACAAGACTGTCGTTCGAGCCGGCCTGGGACCGTCTGGTTGGCTGGCTGCTGGCCAGCTTGGCACAGTCAACGTGTTCTTGTTCCGCGCTCCGACATTGGGCAGGAGGGGGGCGAGGCAGAAGGGGGGGGGAGGGCTCCGGACCTCTGCTGATGTGACTGTTTGCAACAGTGCGTCCTATGGGGGAGACTCCACCTGCTTGAAACGGGCGGCGCCGAGCAGCCGAGATCGACTCCATGGGGGGGGAGTGGGTTGCGAGGGCCCGCGCCGATCGGCAAAACAATGAATCAGAAAACTGTCCTAAAAACGCGTACCTCACCACTGTTCTGAAAAGGGCCCAGGGGCACATAAATATGAAATCATCCCCAGATTCCTCCTTAATCTCCCTATTTTCTGGATGCTCGCCTTCCCCTCCGTTTCCCGCATGTTCCATAGTCTCATTGGCATCGCCAATTATCTATGTCTGTGTGCTTCTTCTCTCCTGAATGTGGGGCCCAGGGACACAAATATAAGATAATTCCCAGATTCCTCAAATTCTCCCTATTTTCTGGATGTTCGTCTTCCCTCCATATTCTCATTTCGGCGGCGAGCGAGGGGGGGAAGCGAGAAGGAGAAGGCCTTCTCAAAAGGCTCGGAAGTCCCCCGACCTTCTGAGAAGGCTCTAAGCCTGTCTCGAAGACCAAAAAAACTTCTCAGAAGGCGCGAGGGCTTCTGAGAAGTCTAGCTACCGTCTGAACTTTAGGTCGGGAATGTCCTCCTACAGACGGGCTGTGGAAGATAAATTACGACAGTCAAGAATAATCCATGATAGTGCAAACAAAAAAGGAGGGGGAGAGAGAGAGGGGGGGAGAAAAAAAACAACTATTTGATATGTGTATATATGTATCATCATAAATGCTGCTGTTATTGAATCATTCCTCCTGTAGACGGACGTGCCCAACTTGGGGTCAACGGCGCAAAAGAGAGAAGCCGTCGGAGGTCTGCCCGACTTTCTCGGGTCGGCAGTGGACACACCCCGGTGGCGCCATCGCGCGCCCGCGCGCCCTCGCCGGGAAGGTGGGGTCCAGCGCCAAGATCCGGGAGATGGGCGCGGACCTCCGAGAAATCCCTCCGGGCGCAGGTGGTCTCACGAACGCTTCTCTTCTCTCCGCCAGGATCCTTCCTTCCCCTGCTCGGGGGAGGGGGTTTCTCATTTTTCCCTGCTGATAAACGCCCCCTCCCCATGGCGACTGGCAGCCAACCAGGACCAATGAGGACCCCCCTACCATCCCTGTCGAAAAACAATGTGAAATTCAACTTGGGCAAAATCTTGGGTCATGATCGGGAGGGGCGCGAGCAATGTGTATTGTTTTTTTGACAGGGACGGCGGGGGTGCCCGCATATTGCCTGCTGCGCGCAGGGCCAGCATCCCCGTAAAAAGAATACAAAATGCACTTCAAGGCAAAATCTGGATCATGCGCGGGCACCCCGCGATCACCGTACATAGTTTTTGACTGGGACGGCGTGGGCGCTGGTATGTTGTCTGCTATGCACAGGCCCACCAGACACTATGATCCACGCCGCCGCGATTGCGTACTACTCGTGTTCGCCAAGGGTGTTGGGAGCCGACACGTTTCCCAATGTATACTTCCACGTGCGCAGGCGCACCTGGCTCACTCTACGCGTGCCCCGAACGTGGCGCGCCTGGCGCGGCCAGAGCATGCGGCACACATGGCGCACGTGGATCACGTGGCGCATCTGGCGCACCAGGCGTGCCTGGCACGCTTGGGCCACATGGGATGCCTGGCGCACGTGGCGCACATGGGGTCTCTTCTGGTTCCCGTTAGCTGCCCATCCAAAGACGGCCGCTGAACATGCTGAGGCCTGGGTGCTATTTACGTGTTTCGGGCTGGGCGAAAGGGGGGGATAGCAAAGGGGGGGTTTGAGAATCAGCTCGCGTAGCTGATTTTCCTGGCGCCTCCCGGCGCCGGAAGCACCCACGTATTGAGGAATGGGCCCCTCGGTGGGGCCGAAACCAGCTGCGTGCAGCAGATTTCGTAACCCCCCCTTTCCCTATCCCCCCCTTTCGTCCGGCCCGAGTGTTGGGAGCTCGGGTGGGAGTGAGCGAGACAGCTTGCGGGCGGGGAGGGTGTGCCTTGGCTTATGTCGGGCGTGTCCCCCTACAGGGGGATTTTCGACGAAAAATGAAAAATACCCCTAAAAATCCCCAAAAAGATCAAAAAAATACTCAAAAATAATCCCCAGACTAGTTTTGGACTATATTTTGACTATTGTTGGGGTATTTTTTATTTTTCGTCGAAAATCCCCCTGCAAGGGGACAGGCCCGACTTAAGCCTTGGCACCTCAGCCCTGCCCCCGCCCCTGGGCCAAGAGGTCCGCGCGTGACCTCCGAGAGAAGCTGCGCTCGTGCAGCTCTCCTCTCTCTGCGGCCCTCGGCCCCCTTGCCTCCGGGGGGGGGACGCGAGAATGGGACACACAGATAGATAGACACAGATAACAGGATTCCCCATATTTTCCCATATGTCCTGGGTTTTCGTCTTCCCCCCCACTTGCCAGATTTCCCCAAATTTTCTGTGGGATCGACGATTAATTGTGTCTGTGTGTTTTGTTCCCTCCAGATTCTCTGCGCCCTCGGCCCCCTTGACTCGGGGGGGACGAAAGGGCGGGATGGCAACGCTGAGGCCAGAGAATCAGCTCGCGCAGCTGCTCTTCCTGGTGCCTCCTGGCGCTGGGAGGCGCCCCTGCGTCGAGGAATGGGCCCCGCCGCGGGGCGGAAACCAGCTGCACTGCAGCGGATCTCGTAACCCCTCCTTTCCCTGCCCTGAAGCCGGGCCTGTCCCTCTACAGGAGGAATACTCAAAAAGAGTAATACATATATATATATATATATATATATATATATACACACAAAATAGGCTGGGGACGATCTTTGTTGAGTATGCCTGAGCATGTTGTGTTGGGGAGTATGTTTCGGACATTCTTCAAAAATTTGTCGCCCAAAATCCCCCTGCGGGGGGACAGGCCCGATCTTTCCCTGCCCTGCCCTCGCGTGCGGCTCGACTGTTCCCGACCGAGGGGAAGAAAAAAAAAAAAAAAAAAACCTGCCTGCGAGGGGCGACCCCGGCCGCCCTCGCGCTACCCGGGGCCGCGGGCGCGCGCCGGGCCACGGCGCGCAGCGCAGACGGGAGGAGGAGATCGGCGGCGGTAGGTCGGGAGCGGCCAAGAGGGGGGTGTCCAAGAGGGGGGTGCAAATCATGACCGGCGGCATGTGCGCTGCCCAGGTGGGGGGCCAGGGACGTAATGAAATTCGCCGGCCCAACGGGCCAGAGGCGTGCTAAGATCTCCAGTAACTGGTTAACAATTCTCTAGTTCGCGCGCGCGGGGCGGCCCCTGGGGGTCCCCGGACGAAAAGTACCCCGGGCGACTCCAAGCTGATCCCCGGGCGAAGTCACCAGAGCGCCCCATGAGCGCACCAACAGGGCTCCGAGACGTCCCCGAGAGCCCCAAGAAAGACCAAGAGGCCCCCAAGAGGCCCCCAAGATGGTACACGAGGGGTCCGACATGCCACAAGATCGCTCCAAGACGCCCAAGATAGCCCCTAGACGCCCCAAGAGGCCTCCAAGAGCACTCCCAAGATGGCCCCCGGAGGCAAAACTCATTGTTTTTCCTTTGGTTTTTGAAAGATTTTGGAGCTTCCACCTTTTCGGCTTCCCGACGCCCCAAGACGGCCCAAGAGGCCCCCAAGATCGCCCCAAGAGGGCCCAAGAGGCCCCCAAGAGGGCCCCAAGATGGCCCAAGAGGGCTCGAAGACGGCCCAAGAAGCCTCCAAGACGGTCCAAGAGGGCCCCAAGAACGCCCCCAAAGGGGCCCCAGAGAGGGAACACGAAACAACATTTCGAGCCCTCGGCCCTAAGAAGCCCCTACGAGGCCCCAAGAGGCCCCTAAGAGGCCCCAAGAGGCCCCCACGAGGCCCTCAGGAGGCCCCCAAGAGTCCCCCAAGCGGCCCCAGGAGGCCCCCCAAATGCCCCCCCGAGCGCCCCAGGAGTCCCCCAAGCGGCCCCAGGAACCCCCAAAGCGCCGCATTGACACCAGGCCCTCGGGCAAACGGCAGACATGAGACTGTATGGGCCGGCGGAATGAGCGAAGCGATTAAATAAGAAGAGGCGCCATGAAATCTGGGGAAATATCATGGCCCACGCCATGATATCCACCCCCCCCCTAGTCATCGCCCCCCTCTTTGCCGCTCCCGAGTAGGGGACCACATGCGAACCCTACCCCCACGCCCCACGACTTCTGAGGGGGAGGGAGGGGTTCACTTCGTCAGGGAGCTCCCGAGCGAAGTAAACCCCACCCTCCCCTAGGAAGGTGGGGGCTGGGGTTCCCCTTTGGCCCCCTGGGTGGACAAACCTCCCTTTAGCACACCTCCCCTGATTGAAAAACAGCCTGGGACCGAAACCTACGGGCCTGGACCCGCAAAGATGACGGCCGCGACGCCCTCTCGCGGAGCGAAGACGGCCAATTCCTTAATCGACGCGTCAGGGTAGGAGGTCGATCCACCTCCGAAGAAAAGAAGAGTCGTTGCACCGACCTTGCAGACGTGCTGCAGCGGATTTTCGCGTGACGTTTTGTCGATGCAGAGCCCCGGAACGGCGAGCGGAAAACGAAGCAACTTCACGGGGATGTTTTGTAGTCTTCATTCCTGGCCAAAACAAATCCGCACAAAATTCACGCGGAAATCCGGAACGAACTTCTCCAGGACAGTCTGGGTCCATCCAATTGCTTTCCGAACGGAATCCGCTCTGCGATGTTGGAGCCACAAGAAGAGACGACGGTCCTCGGCCCCCTTCTTGGAACCGTAGAAGACGACGGCGTTCCCCACCGGCCTCCTGTCCGCGTCGGTCAAGACCTTGATGCGCTTGACCTCGCCGTAAGTCTTGAAGACGGTGCGCAGCTCCTCCTGGGGAGCGACGCCGACGCCCAACGGCGAAGGAGCGCTGGTGGACCGACCCTAGACGACGCCGACGCCGACGCCGTCGACGCCGACGACGACGCCGACGACGACGAAGATGCCGACGCCGACGCCGCCGCCGCTGGCGACGACACCGGCTACGGGTACGGCGACGGGGCACCGGCAACCACGACGACGACGACAACGACGACGACGACGACGACGACGACGACGACGACGACCACGACGACGACGACGACGACGACGACGACGAAGGCGACGGCGACGGCGGGAGCGGCGGCAGCGACGGAGGCGGCGGCAGCGACGGCGAAGGCGATGTCGACGTCGACGTCGACGACGCCGACGACGACGACGACGACAGCAAGCCATGACCAGCGGGGCGAAAGGCGGCCGTCGGCCGAGCCGAACAGGGATTACTACCCCTGGGGTCCTCGGTGATGTCCTGGGGCAGGTCGCCTACGAAGACGGGAAAACCCTCTGTGCTGTCCATGCGGAATCGCCGTCCACCATGCAGCACTCGGCGGCGAGCAACAGAGTCCGAGGGTGGGGCGGGCTGGCCGGCCATAACTTGGGGAGCTGAGCTCCTTCACCCCCCCGGGGGAGCCCATCGCATCGATGATCCCTCGTGAGGGGTGCCAAGGCCGATGGGCCCCCCAAGGGGTGGTAGGAGCCGTCGGCTACAGCGCAAGAGTGGCCCCAGGGAAGAGTGCCTTGGATGCGCGGCGGCTTGAGGAGGAGGAGGAGGAGGAGGAGGAGGAGGAGGAGGAGGGATGGGGGGGGCACATCCAGGCGCGCCAAGCGCGCAGACCTAAGCTGTGTGCTTCTGGGGTTGTCGAACCGCCGCTGGGTACCCCCTCCTCCTCCTCCTCCTCCTCCTCCTCCTCCTCCCCTCCTCCTCCTCCTCCTCCTCCTCCCTCCTCCTCCTCCTCCTCTCTCCTCCTCCTCCTCCTCCTCCTCCTCCTCCTCCTCCTCCTCCCTCCTCCTCCCTCCTCCTCCTCCTCCTCCTCCTCCCTCCTCCTCCTCCTCCTCCTCCTCCTCCTCCCTCCTCCTCTCCTCCTCCTCCTCCTCCCTCCTCCTCCTCCTCCTCCTCCTCCTCCTCCTCCTCCTCCTCCTTATCCGCTGCTCCCTGACCAGGCCCATCCTGAGCCCAGCAGCGGTGCATGCGCCACGCCCGCCTGGCTTGGCCCGGAGGGGGTACACACACAGCGGAGGCGTACAGCTTTCGCCGCCCGACCCTTTTGCCCGCCGACAGGGCACCGCGGCAGTGCAGGGGGCTAGGGCATCGGGCCCGGCCTGCCCGGCCCGGCTCGAGCCGAGATCAGTCCCGCGACTCTCTGCCTCTCACTCTCCCTCTCCCTCTCCCTCTCTCTTCCTCTCTCTCTCTCTCTCTCTCTCTCTCTCTCTCTCTCTCTCTCTCTCTCTCTCTCTCTCTCTATATATATATATATATGTATCCCTCGCTCTCCTATCTCTTTCTCTCTCTCTCTCTCCCTCCCTCCCTCCCTCCCTCCCCTTCCCTTCCTCCCTCTCTCTCTCTCTCTCTCTCTCTGTTTCTCTCTCTCTCTCTCTATCTCTCTCTTCTCTCCCTCCACGGTTAAAACAACTTATGAATACTACCCTCCCTCCTCCCCTGAAGTTGACTGGGAGAACTCCGCCCCCACGCGCAAGATCCGAAGAATTGATGTTGTCTGAGTGTTTCTCGCAATCCGACTACAGTCGCGCTCGCACCTCGGCGTGGGCCATTTCTCTGGATCCGAACCCTGCTTCAATTTGGTCCCCCCCCTCGTTTCCCCTCCTCCGCTGTCCCATGGTCCTCTTCCTCCCGCTCCTCCCGCTCCAGTTCCTCCTGCTGCTGCGGTTCGTCTCGCCCCATCGCGGCCCGCTTTTCTGAATCCGAGCCTGTCTTCCTCGTTGTCACCCCCCTCATTTCCCCTCCGCCTTCCCCTGGCCATCCTTTCCTTGCAATCCTTCCGCTTTAGTTCCTGCTGCTGCTGTTCGTCCTCATCCTTATCCTCCCGCTCATCCTCCTGCTCACCAGCCACCTCCTCCTTTACACGCAACTCCATGTTTCCGATTGCGCATAGCACGAAGTGGTCTTTGTGTTGGAGTCGCAGGTCGGCTATGACACGCGTCCGCGGACATTGAAAAATCTGCGCCATGGGAAGGGAAGGGAGGATGGGAATGGATGTCAGATGAGGTGCGAGCGCACCTAGTTTGCCATCTCCCTCTCTGTTTCTCTCTCTCTCTCTCTCTCTCTCCCTCGCCCTCTATGTCTTCAGACACATGCACGTGTTATGTGCGCGCACGTATATACATCAAAAAGGGAGGACGATGACAAAATGCGTGCGTGTTAGATTCGATGTGTATACGATGTATCCCTATGTTCCCAAACTGGGCCCTAACGGCGGTCCGACTAGCTCGCCGCCGCCCATGGCGGCCCGTCGCCGCCGTCACCGCCAGGCCCCAGTGGCGGTCCGGCCAGCTCGTCGCCGCCCGTCGCCGCGTTGCTTTGCGTTGCTTTGCATTGCGTTGCATTGCCTTGCACTGCCTTGCACTGCTTTGCACCATAAAAAGTGCACCACATGGATTGCACCACCAAGACTGCACCACATCGACTGCATCACCTAGATTGCACGGTGTACATCGTAAGAACTGCTTGGGGTCCCCGCTGGCTGACATAAACAATGTTGCGTAAATCTGTGATGTATCCGCCACCGTGCTTTGGGCACGGAGTGGCCGTGTCCTCAGGTATTGCTTAATCCCTGGAGCCTCTGTCCTCGGTCCTGCGGAGTCTGTAAAGGGCCCGGACCGAATTTTCCAAGATTTGGCGGGGCTCCCGGCGTCCCCCTTGGACCCCCTATGGTTTCCCGCATGAACTTTTCGGGCCCAAGAGGGTCCGAAGACGGGCCAAGAGGGCCCCACGAGGCCCCCAAGACGGTCCAAGAGGGCCCCACGAGGCCCCCAAGACGGTCCAAGAGGGCCCCGATTCGCCGAAAGACGTTCCAAGACGCCCAAGATGGCCTCAAGATGGCCCAAGAGGCCTCCAAGACGCCCCAAGAGGCCTCCAAGAGGCCTCCCAAGAGGGCCCCAAGAGGCATCGATGGTTCTCTGGTTTTGAAGGCTTTTGGCGTTCTGGCCTTTTCGTTTTCCGACGTTCCAAACGGCCCAAGAGGCCCCCAAAACCAGGCCTCCAAGAGGGACGGCCCAAGAGGCGCCCAAGACGGCCCAAAGAAGCCCCCAAGACGGCCCCAAAGGGGCCCAAAAGAGGGAACACGAACCGATAATCAGGAGGCCCCAACAGGCGCCCAGGGGGGCCCTAAGGCCCCCCAAAAGGCCCCAAGAGGACCCAAAGAGGCCCAAAAAGAAGCCCCAAAACGGCCCCCGAGAGGCCTCCAAGAGGCCTCCGAAAGGCCTCCCTCCAACGAGATCCCAACGAACATCCAACCGGCTTCATACCCACGGTGGCGGGATGGGCCGAAGGCCATGAGATCTGCCGCCCCCTGTTGACTCATCACAGGGGTGCCTGGCGTGCTGAATCCTTTCGTCTCCCGGGGTTTCGGCCCGTCCCACCGGCCACCCGAAAGGGACCTCAACGACCGCAAAAAATGCTCCAAAACGGCTCTGGATGGTTTCTAAGATGGTCACGTTGGCCCAAGATGGCCTCTAAGATGGCCCCAAGATGGCCTCCAAATCGCCAAGGATGGTCCAAGATGGCTTCCAAGACGGCCCGAGAGAGTCCAAGATGCCTTCAAGTCCCACCAGCCCTCTGGGCGCAGGTGGTCTTAGGCGTTTCCTTTTCCAACCTCCTTCCTTCCCCTGCTCGGGAGGTTTACCTCCCCCCCTCCATGCGTTTGGACGGGGAGGGGCCCGACCCATAGCAGCGTCCACGATGGCCCAAGATGGCTCCAAGAGGGCATCTGAGAGCGCAAGATGGCCTCCAAGATGGCCCAAGATAGCGATAGATGGCTGAAGATAGCCTCCGACACGCACCCAAGAGGCTTCGGAAGGGCCCCAAGACGGTTCCAAGTGCTGCCCGAGGCCTCCGAGGACCCCCCCAAGAGGCCAAAATCATCAAAAAACCAAAGGAAAATAATATGGTTTGCCTTCTCGCTTTTTCGCCTCCGATGGGTTCTTGAGGCCTCAAAATGGCCCCAAGACGGCCCAAGATAGTCCCACGAGGGGCCCAAGAGGGCCCCAAGACGGCCCCAAGAGCGCCCAAGGGCGCTCCAAGAGCGGCGCAAGAGGGCCCCATGATGGCATTTTGGAGCCTCCGAGGGGGCGATGGGAATTAGAACCCCCCATATGTTTGATCAATGCGGCCTAAAACGGTCCCAAGAGGCCTCCCAGACCACCACCAAGACAAGAGAGCCCCCTGACCCCCCCAAAGAGCCCCAAGAGGGCCCCAAGACGCCCCAAAAGGGCCCCAAGAAGCCCCAAGAAGGTCCTAAGAGGACCTCAGGAGAGCCCCAAGAAAGAACCCCAGGAGGCCCCAAGAGGGACCCAAGAGAACCCCAAGAGAGCCACAAGATGCCTCCAAGTTTCGAAACGTACGCGAGCTTCAGATACAAATCAGTGCAACAGGCATTACGAGTCATCGAAACACCCCTCACCCCCCATCGAAGCACCGTCATGGCCTGCATCGATTTCACTCTTAAGCTTCAATGCGGGAAACTATTTGTGATCCTTGTTTTCCCGAAGACGGCTGCGCGACCGCATGCGTCCTGCCGCCCCTGATTCACCAACTCCCCTGCTGATCGTTTCTGGACGGGCTGGTGGGGATTTTTTGGTCGCGGCCACAGGCGAAGGCGCCCGCGGCGGGTCGAGTCGTCTCGGGCTACGAGCGAACCTAACTGCCGGCGCGCGCGCAGAAGAAAGCAGGGCCCACCGCCGGGGAAGCAGCTGCGCCAGGGCCGAGCTGCAACCGCCGAGGCTGAGAACCGGCGCCGAGGGTGGCTGCCAGGAAGCTGCAAACGTGCGGGTACCATGGGAGCTGAATCACCAGGTACGCGAATTGGACCGTGTCGCCACAGGGCGCCAGAGGTCGGCGCGCCACAGACGCGGCGAAACGCGGGGCCACGCGATAGCCCAGCGAGTGACAGCGGACCGACGGGGGACGCGCAAGTCCGTTCAAGAGGGCTGAACCACTCCTGAATGAACCGGCGGCCTGAAACCCAAGAAGGCCAGCAGCACTGACAGGCACGGCCAGCTGTGGCAATGACTGAGGACCAGATGCCAGGGAAGTGCAGACACTCACGCTGGAACTGGACAGGACGCAAGTCCCCAGAGCGCCAGGGGGCCGCAGCCGACTCCACGGAGCCGAGTGGGGACCAAGAACGAGAGACACAGCAAGACCGCAAACACTAAAAGCGGCGATAACCAGAACCCAGGCGCTCGAGACAAGAGGCGCGAGCTGGAGACGTCACGCCGAGGGACCAGCACCAAGACAACCAAGCTGGGCCATGGCCAGGCCCGGGCAAAGGCCAGGGCGAAAACAACTACAGCATCAGCCAGGGCCGCAAGGCACGTCGCGCCCCGCCCCAGCGGGGCCAGCGCACCCGGCATTGACGGCGCCTGGGGGTCGGGCCCCCAAGGGCGAGGAGGCCGAGCCAGCCGCCGTGCGGGGGCCGACACCGGATGACGCTGGGCCAGCAGTGGGGGGCTGTAAACCGCCGCGGCCAGGCGCGGCGAAGGCCAAGATGATTTGGCACTGCCACAGCAGACGGGCAGGCCGCGCATCGGCACTTTGCGCCGCGCCCCAGCCAGGGCATCGCGCCAAGTATTGACAGCGCCAGGGGCCCGATCCACAAGGGCGGGGGGCTGGCCAAGCGCTGCTCGGTGACTGGACCCGGTCGCGAAGGGCCGGAGAGATAGGGGCACGCGCGGGCGACTGCGGCAAACGGCTGCACGACCCCAACATGAGAACCTTACACTTCCAGCAAGCGAGGGGAGACTCCAGCCCTTCGCGTCCAGCCCTTCGCGCCCGGCCCGCCGCTCACCCGTGAGCGGCGGGCAGCTACTGTTCATCGGGCTCTTCTGGCGCTTGCTCCGCATGCTGCTCTCGTTCTCTACTCGGTCGCGCATGCCCCTGGCCAGGTTGCCCGCGCTGCCCCGCGCACACGTCGGAAGCCTCCGCCCGCCGGTCTTCGGGAGGGGGAGGGGCCGACACGCAGAAGCTGACCGGCGCCCCGTCGATCCCCCCCTCCACCCTTCCCACTCGAGGCCTGCCAGGGTTGCCAGGGTGGCGACTAACCGTCGCCCTTCCAGAGTACATCGGACGATCGATCGAAGCCCCAGCTGCACGGGCGCCCGCCTGC